CTATCCTACAGAAACACGACTCATCCAACAACCAAAGAGTCCCCGGCCAATCTAATGATGCGGAGAAAGCTGCGAACCAGACTAGATCTTCTGAAACCCACCATTTCGGACACAGTGGCGAGGTCTCAGTTCAAACAACAAAGGGCGAGGCCGGAACACGAATGCACGCTGACAGAGGGTGATGATGTCTACGCGAGGAACTATCGAGGATCGTCAAAGTGGACGCGTGGTACTGTCGTTTCCCAAACAGGACCGGTATCCTTTCAGGTACAGGTGTCCCCCGGCAGGATATGGAGACGCCATCAGGATCAGCTGATCCCGGCTCAGCCGCAACGAGAACAGTCACCAGACAGTACTCACATGTACAAACCGGTGTGTGTCCCGACATCATCGGAAGAGATTTCAGTGGCCAACAACCAACAAACGCGTCCTAATCCTGGAGCGTCAGCGGTCATTGTCGAGGCCGAGGACATCGAGACGCAGACTCCCACAACAAGGTCGGGGTCGAGCGACGTAACGGGAGACATGACGGATGAACATCTCAAAGTGGGGCGGTATCCTACTCGAATCCGACACCCACCAAAGCGTTTTGCAAACCAGTAACTACCTTTGGTGGTTGCTTAATTAAAGGGGGAAAAATGTGATGTTCCTGACATACGCACTCGTAAATAAAGAAGAAGTGTTGGGGGAGCTCGAGAGATCGAGGCAGGATCTCGGGGCACAACGCTTATGGAATGGCTATGGTTCTGGTCTCAGTCATTGACGTCCTAACATAACAGGTGCTATGGTTCTTGACAGAAGTTTGTAACAAGAATTGTGGCGCGCCCGTCTCGAAGCTCCGTTACACCTCCTGCGACTCTGAATCTCTTTAGAATTCAATTCAATTACAATTCATTTTATTTATTCCCATATAACAAAATGGGCGCTGGAGGCAGGAGACAAAGCTGCAGAATTGCAGCTTGAGGAAGCCCCAGCCCCCTACAGGCAGATCGGTCAGCGTAATATAATTACATCGTTTGCAGCAAAACAAAAGAGAACATTTATGCACCACACCGAGAAGTATGTTATTTGGAGGATAATATGTCACGCAATCCATTCTTATTTCAATTTTCAATGCAGACACCTTGTTCTTTGAAAAAAAATCAATACTGTTGGAAGTGTGTGCTGAGTCATCTGAAGCCCGTAATTAGTATTTGGACGTGGTACTCTCAAGGTTCCGGCGCTGCGCATATCGTATGCAATATTTTTGTTAGTTAATTTGAAAATTTGTCGTAATAGATGATTAGGAAATTTAAGCGATGCCATGTACATAGCTGCTAGCTTATATTTACAATATTCTTTGATTCATTACTTTATGTTTACAGAAAAGAGGTTCAGTACGTGCGCAATACGACTCATTAGTTACAATGCGAATAGCTTTTTTCTGTAGCAAAAAGAATTTAATAACGTCAGTACTTGTCGTAGTTCCCCAAACTAGGTGACAGTATGATATACGAGGATTAAATAATGCAATGTAAAGCAAAAGTTTTACACGAGCTGATAATATATAGCGATGCTTATATAGAATACCTATGATGCTCGAAAGTCTGAGAGTAAGATTTTGAACTGGAAGCAACTCCACGCTGCCCTCGAGAAAAACTTCGACACAGGAAGCTTCATCGGTTCCGACAGGTGAAGACCACTTGACCGATGCGGCAGGTTTACATGGTCGGCAAGGACACGGACCACGGATGACATCGTTTTCGTTTCCTCCAGTGGTGAGACAGGCTTTTGCAACTTCAACCTGTTCGCTCCCAAACCAATGACAGCGCCGTACGCGCACAAGAAGTCCATTCCAAGGATAACGTCCTTCGCAGATTCCTAAAGAACGACGAACTTCACCGGACAGGGTTCGCCATAAATCTCGACGCGTGCGGTGCATTTTCCGACCGGTGTGATGAGGTGTTCTGCAGCAGTTCGTATATGTGGTCCATCCCGCAATGTCGTTACTTTCCGCATGCGGCGAGAGAGCTTTGCACTCAGAACCGAGTAGTCTGCTCCTGTGTCTATGAGTGCCGTCACGTCGTGGCCGTCGATAGCTATGTTAGGTTGTTTGCCACCGTCGCAGACGCGTTCTTCCGTGGGGTATCCTCGTTAAAGCGTGAGCCCTCCAATGTTTTGGGGGATCTTTACTTCGTAGGCGAACGGCAACTCAACCTCCCTGGCTTGCCGTGCTTAGATTTCCCCGCGTGGCTTGGGGGACAGGCTTCGTCGGCGGGAACGGTGAAGTATGTACTTTGGCCGTCGCGGGGACCACGAATGAGATCATTGGGGTGCAGCCGGCATCGGGAACGGCGATCGGCGCAGGTACGCTCGATGTTTCTCGGCTGCTCACCAAGGCGAGGCCGAGGGTCGTTCGGCGCGAACCCTCGCAGGACCATCTGGCGGAAGCTGCACCGTCAGTAGACATGGCCGGCCTCTCCGTAGGGGTAATAAATAGGGCGTCGGTCGGCCGTTCAGCACACGTCGGTCTTCCGGGTTGCATGGAACTCCTGGCAGGCACACTAAACCTGGTCGTCGTGGCGTCGGTCGTACTGCGGTGCAGGAGACTGACGTCGGGGCGGCGCGATATGGGCGCGAGAAGGAGGCGGTGGCCATCGAGCCATTGCGGCGTAAGTTAGCTTGGGTTCCTCGGGGACTGCCACGCTGATGGGAGCCTCTGGTTGGATGGCTCTCTCGACTTCTTCCCGCATGACCTCGGCGATGGAAAGCGAGGCCGAGTGCGCGGCAGCGGGCAGCAGCTTCTTCTGCTCCTTCTGGACGACTTCGCAGATGATGTCACGTATGCCGAAGAGGTTGGTACTGAGGTCGGATCCCGAATGTCGCCAGAGCAGTTACGCCAGGGTGTCGTTGGTAGTGTCTGGCGCGTGCTAGTAGGTCCCGTTCCATATTTGTTGCCTTTGTGCCGAACTCGTCGACTGTTGTTGGAAGATTGCCTGCGGTCTTCACACCCCTCATCAGGTGGTGCAGCTTGTTCTGCTCGGTAGCCTGAGGGTCGGAGCGGTCGCTCAGGTGAAGAACATCCTAGACGATTTTGTTGATGCTCTCTTAGGGCCTTGGGTCCTTGTCCGAAGACTGTATTCAGCCCTCTAGTGTCGGTGTTAGCTTGTAAGCGTCTTCTTCAGTTCTTGCTTACACACCTCCCACGAAATTAAAGGAGTCTTCTTGGTTCTCCAGCCAGTATTTCGCGGTCCCTTCCAGCGAGGAGTATATGATCTGCAAGCAGTGCCATCTGTCCACCCGTTATGGCGGGCCACAAGTTCATAGTGTTGCAGCCAGTCCTCGATGTCCTCGTGGACCTCCTCGTGGGAAGGCGTCGGAGTCCGGGGTGCAACGGGCAGGTATTAGTGATGCAAAACTATCGATACTATCAATAGTTTTTCCAGAACTATCGATAGTGTCGCAGAACTATCGATAGTCAACTATCGATAGTACTGTCGATAGTTTTTCGGTAGTCGACTATCGATAATTCTGCGACTTTATCAATAGTTTTATTACTATCGCTAGTCAGGTTTCTGGCGACTATCGATACTATCGATAGTACTATCGATAGTTTCGCACCACTAGAGTGAACACAGTTGCCGCACCGCCGCTCGACCCCCTCTCCTCCTCTCTTTGCCCGAACTCCCGTCTTCGGCATCACTGCAAGCTGAACCAAAGTTGGGATATGGGCTTGGGCTAGTTGGGTATCCCATTTGAAAAAATAAAGCGAGAAACAGAGAAGAGGGAGCGACGCAAAGTACAAGTGTCGCAAAACTATCGATAGTAAACCGTCGACAGTACCATCGATAGGTTTACGATAGTCGACTATCGATAGTACTATCAATAGTTTTTCGATAGTCGACTATCGATAGTACTATCGATACTTTTTCGGAACTTCTTCGATGGTCGACTATCGATAGTGCAATCGATAGTTTTTCGATAGTTGGCTGTTGATAGTACTATCGATAGTTTTTCGATAGTCGACTATCGATAGTACTATCGATGGTTTTTTTTACTATCAATAGTCAAATTTCTGGCGACAATCGATACTATCGATAGTACTATCGATAGTTTTGCATTATTAGCAGGTATACGACGGGAGAAGCGGCCGACGTTTTGCGACTGGTTGGTCATCGTCGTCTTCTTTGTCTTAGGCCTTGACAGAAGTAAGCCGAATATAGGAGCCTATCCCTGGGTGCTTCCGCTGGCCCGAGTTTCAGCTTCCTCGTAAAGTGGTCTTCTCACCGGCCTTGGAATCGGACTTGCACTGCGGGCCCCGGAGGAGACGCTGCTGTGTTACTCCGCACCTACACCAAAATGTCACGAATGGAAAAATGACGAGGCGGCGAATAACTAAGGAAACTAAACGTTTAAATGGGGCCAGCTTGTGCACCAAACAAAATAGAAGGTGAACGTCGCAGGCGACGGCGTCGCCAATACAGCAGAATTGAGCGCTGGGGCGAGACTGACTCCGGCTCGACACGGGGAGGCCGTTATGTAGACGCGTGAGCTTCTGTAACAATCAGCGAAAAAGTTCGGCGTGTAGAACATTCTAACCTCGAATAAGCAACAGGGCTCTCGAATTTACCAGAAAGAGACATTACAGAAACAACAAAAATATGTATTAGCGGCCAGGAGTTGGAACCTCGGCTTTTCGCGTGGGAGGCAAGCACAATAACCGTTAGGCGATGGGCGTGTGGCAATATTAGCGGCCGCCCTTGTGCCCAGCTGATAGCCGGCGGCGCTTGACCGACTGCTCTTCGCTGCCTTGGCCGCTCGCCGCGGACACCGGCGACTGGTCGAGGCCGGCAGCTAAGTTCCGGTCGTCGCGACGTCATCGTCGCTGCTCCGTGGTTCCTCCCCCCCTCGCTGCGCTCGCCAGTCGGCTCAGGAAGGCAGCGCAGGCCGTGGGATTCCCAGCGTACTCCGACGACGCAAGCGTCGTTTGTTCGCTCGTAGACGTTGCGGCCGGCTTGAAGCACGCGGCGACCCATCGAGATTGCAACTGGGAAAGCATGGCTGCGCCGGTGTGCTGGTTGTTGGTTGCGGCGGCGCTTGGCGTCGTCAGCGCCGATGGTGCGGACTTCTCGATGACGGTGCTGCACACCAACGACGTGCACGGGCGCTTCGAGGAGATCAGACCCGACGGCACCCGCTGCCCCAAGACCGACGCCGAGAAGGGACTCTGCGTCGGAGGCATCGCGCGCCACAAGAACCTGGTGAGATATGAGGGCTCCTTCATTTTCCCTCTTTGTTTTCTGGACGCGATATGACAGCTTGCAAGTAAAGCTTAATGCCTGCAAATCGGCATAAAATTTGTAGACCAATAAAAGTACCTCGGCGTAACCTTCGATGAAAACTTATCGTATGTTATCAACGTACCGGCTCCAATATAATTATATTGCAGCCGGTACGTTGATAACATAAAATCTGCATGTTAAGAACATTGATCAAGGGTACAGGTCAGTTACTTAACTCTTAAGGCCATGTCGCTCCAAGGCAACAGTTGGACAACTCTATCCGGCAACACGAGTAATCATGTTGCCGGCGATCCTGTCACATTGCGGCAACAACAGCGGTCGGGCAACATGTTGCTGCCGTCCGGCAACCGTGTTGGCCGAGTTGTTGTCCGGCCACCCTGTCACACCGCGCTGACGGCGTGGACAACACGGGGAACACTCCGCCATCTTGATTGTTTACTTCGTTCCTGTGCAGCGTGGCGGCGCTGGAAATGTGCTCTACAAAGCGCTAGTGCGTTCGAAAGGCTGGAAATTACTAAGGGACGACGTCAACCAGTGACTTTCATTAGAAACCTTGACACGGCGAGAATTTTCTGCACTTTATTTTATAAAAATCTTCTTCGATCGCTGATAAAGCAGATACTCATAACTGAAGAAAGTCAGATCGTTCATATATATGTTCGGGATTTACGCCACTGTATAAAGTCTTTCGCCCGGTTTCTCCCATACAAAAATAGTCTATGGTCGGCTATAAAAAAATCTTTTTTTACGGTCGGCTATAAAAAATTGGCCCAATTAGCTATAGCCGCTTCTATGGCTGTCTATATCTTTACCTATGGTCTCCATATGGCTGTCTATAGCTTTTCCAATGGAAAGCTATCGAACTTTGTATGGTTTACTCTACGCACATTTCTAGAAAGAATGGCTTTTGTTTTGGTTTCTTTAGCTTCTTGCATGGTATGCTACAGCGATAAGTATGGCTTACTTTATGGATATTTTTAAACAGCGTGCTATAGCAGCCTATGGTTTTTCCTATGGTTTCTTTAGTCGCCTACGTTTCTCTGTGTGGTCCGCAATAGCTTATTCTATAGCTCCTTCTATGCTTCCCTTTACCATCGTGCTAAAGCTGCCTATGGTTTTTTTTTACCGCAATCGCATGAAACGCACAACAAATTATTTTTGTCACTGTAAATGTTATTGGAAAAAAAAAACGCCGACATTATATTTAGGTAGAAAAAAGGCTGGCATCTTAAACTTATTTAAGACGTTTTGAACTTAAGAGACCCATCTAAAACGTTGAACAAGCCCTTCAATAAAAAATATGCACTGCCTCAGGTGTTTTCAAAAGGCAGGTAAACGGACACAAGGAATTGTTTTTAAATCTCCTAGAAGTTTATTACACACAACCCATTATGTAGACAAGTACAAACAAAGCAATCTGTAATATTGGAAGAGGTACTACTCAACTGTTATACAACTGAGAAGATTGCAAAGCAAACATAACCGGGGTAAATCCTGGGTAGTGTCCAGTCTCCCGGCAGACGTTTTTCTCCGAAATTCTACCGGCAGTCGCCACTCATTGGCGGTGCGATCAGTTCATCGAACGACATTTCATCAACAGATCGTTTCATCAGCATGCAATGTTTCATAAACCGCCTAGCCGCTGCATACTGACCACAAAGCAGCGCGAACGGGTGGGCTGGGTTGGTGAGCACGCGCCTCAGGAATGCTCGCGCGGCGAAATGTCTCCGTGCAATTCGCGTGGCAAATGTCGATGAAACGCAAATGTCTACGAAACGTGGAAAGGTGTTCATGAAACGTGTTTTCAAAAAAAACGCAGAGAGAATAAGGAGGTCAGTATTCATTCTGCAGTTGGGACATGGTTTCAGTCAGGTAACGGCAGGCAACGGCCGGTAGAATTTCTGGGAAATTATTCCCGCGGCTGCCAGGAGATAGACACTGACTAATTCTACAAGTATTCTGGAAGAGCGCGCACTTACGTTGAAAATACCGAACTTGAAAGATTTAGTCCGAGATATATGTCGACACGGGAACTGCAAATTAACCACTTGAGCAAAAAACGAGAAGGAAGGGATCCATGAAGATTCAACACGTTGTAGCACACGCTGTCATTTGCCGAACCAAATCACTAAACGCATCGCAAGAATATCTTGGGCTTCTTCGAAGAAATCACATGTTGCCGACATACGGGTGGGACATTTCGAACGAGATACCATTTACCACAGAAGCGAAATTCACAGCAGCCCCGCAGGCCGCACCGCGCTCGAAACTAGGTCCGCAAGCAGGCATTCCGGGATTGTCAACGGATAATGCGTCATCCGTCAAACCACGTGATCACGCTTCTGCCGTCAAAGTCTATGGTTGATTGGTCCGGCGATTGCGCACGTTCTGCCACGCTTTCAGCGTAGGAAGAGAGAGAAAAAGAAGTAAAGAGTAGAAAAGCAGCAGGTCTTTCAAGGCCAGGACAGGGGTGCCCTCGCAAAGGTTCATCTTCAAGGGCATCCCAACAATCAACACAACGAGATAATTTCTCACTTGTAACCAAGGTTGATAGTGTAGTGGTTGCTATGTTTGGCCTTGGGCTTCAGGCAGGTGCCGTGTTCTGGGTTCTGCCTTATCACCAGCTTCGAGACTAAACCGCGCACCGGGACAGAATTGGCCTAAACCACGCATAGCCTTTACCTTGTCGTCAATACCGAGTGAACAGGACAGTTTCATGAAAGCCAGCTTTTGGATTTTTAAAGAAGCTGCCCAGCCCAAAAGCGGCCCAAAATAGGCAAGTTTGAACATAGTGTTTTGCATAGTATAACCCATATTCTAATTTAAAAATTAAAAACTAACTGCGACTAGTTTTCGCGCACGATGTCTACAAATAAAAGAACTCGTTGTTGGGCTAGTTGGTGTTGACTGTATTGAACCATGGTTAAAAGCTCTAAAAGCCGTACACAAGATAGAAGACAAGCACGGGCGCTACTCACAACTGTATTGAGAAAGAAAGACGGAAGTACATATATATATATATAAAGTTGAAAATCCCAAGTCAGAGAAACAAAAACACGGAAGGTTTATTTCAACGTTTCGGCAATAGTCTTGCCTTCGTATATATATATATATATATATATATATATATATATATATATATATATATATATATATATATATATATATATATATATATATATATATCTGATACAGTTATCGTCATCGAGGCTACACACGCGCGAGATACAAGAGCATAAATTCGTTTACCCATATATTTATCGAAAAAACGAATCTCAGCATTATATAATGCTATTGACGTGTCTCTGACGCACTGGGGTCCCCTCTTGATAAAATATGCCTCTTGTAGTTCGCGTGCCCTTTGAATTCTGCTTCTAACGAGAATCTTGGTATCGCCGAAGCGTGGCTCGCATTTGCAGGCCCTACAGTGCGCGGGCAAATGTGCTCCGTCATTTGCCTTTAAATTTTGCGCGTGCTCTCTTAAACGGTCATTCGTGCATCTTCCCGTTTGTCCAATGTAAGATTTTCCACACGTTAGGGGATTTCATACACGACCCCCGTGACGCACTCGACGTACGGCCTGGCGTGCTTCGTGCCACCGCCTCGCTCGTTCCTGCTTTCTTTAGCAATTCAAGGGCAAAGTTGGCCGAGTTTCTTTGGCGCTGAAAAGCTACTCCTCTCGCACAACCTTCTTGGGGTTGTGCGCCATTCTGTGTACATATGGTACAACCTCTGGCCGCATGCAGGCCAGCTTCCACAACCAATTGACTGGGCTATTGTCAGCGGGCTTCCCTCAAACGGTCTTGACGAGTGTGGCAGAGGCCACCCTACAGGAGGTAAAAGGTCACACAGCCAGGAAAGTGACGCAGTCGGCACTGAGCAACATGAGGCCAGAGGTTAGGCGCCCATTTCCGGCTTGAGCGGCGTCGGCGTAACCGTGCTGTGCATGATGGGTAAATTTCTCCGTTAAATTTAGCTTAAAATTTTTCCCGGTAAATTCAGCGAAAAAATTTTCTCGCTAGATTTATCGCAAAAAATTTTCCCGCTGAATCTAGCGAAAAATATTCCCCGCTAAATTTAGCAAAAAATTTTCCCTGCTAAATCTAGCGGAAAACTTTTCCCCGCTAAATTTAGCGGAAACAATTCCGCGCTAAATTAGCGGAAAATGTTTTCCTGCTAAACCTCGCGGAAAAGCTTCCTCGCTAAATTTAGCGGAAAATTGTCCCGGCTAAATTTAGCGGGGAAATCTTTCCGTACCTCCGTACCTCCCCCCCGCCCCCCCCCCCCCCCCCTTCTCCTCAAGAGCTGTGCTCTAATTCGGCGTTACAGGGAGTTGTAGACGGGTATTTTTTTTTTTCCGACTGTTAACATGCGTTTTTGTGTATACTTGGTCGTTCTCGACGCGGGCGTCGAAGGACATTGCACCCCTGCTTACGACCCTGCCGAGGTAAGCTCTGCCGTTGTCACGGCACTCTATCGCGCTATAGATTCGTCTATTTGGCGAGTCTATAGCCTCTTCAGTAAGCTCTCGATAGCCCCACGCTCGCATTTCCGCAGAGCGAGCGCGGCCGGCCAGATCGAGGCGCAGTCGGCTCTCGCGTCACGACTGCTACGTCGTTGCTCTGCCTACTCTGATGACATGTGTACTGGCAGTCGAAGCAGCACTCTCGAGACTTCATTCGAGTCCAATAGATGACCTTATAGCGCCGTAGATTGTCGTGACACGGGTAGAACTCACCTCGGCCGAGGCGTACGTAAGCAGCGGCTTCATGTTTGTTGACGCCCGCGTCGAGAAAAACGAAATATACGCAGGAACATTAAATATAAAAATATACAGCACGTAGAAAAAAGTAGAAACATGGCAGGGACACGGACAAAGTAGAAGACGTTAACGCTACGAAATACATATACTTACAAAATACACTGCAAGAAAAAGAAATAATTAAACAAAAAAAGAA